TTCCTTACCTACTTAGTACCTACCCCCCACCCCCCCCCCACCAAAGGGCTTAATGTATTGCTGCTCAGCCTGCAGCTCCTTTGATTGGATCTTCAGGTAGAATCTATTTTCTGGCAATATTTGTCTGGCTTAACAGTCAATTATCAAATTAATGTCTATTAAATCCTTTCAGAATGGGTGTCCTTGTTACCACACTAGCTTAATATTCAGCTTTTTTTCCGGTTTTTATGACCCCCATTTTTCAAGCCTTGTTATCATCTGAATTGATCTGCATTTTTTCCTTGCTGTTCAGAAAGGGAACCTAGGCTCAGATAAGTTGATGTGTTTATATATTCTTGAGGGAGGGGAGAAAGGCAGTAACACTTCTACTGATTTTTGTTTTTGTCCCCCTCTGACCTGAAATCTTGCCCTAAGAAGTTTGGATTCTAGTGAGCGAAAGGTGCTGGCTATTGACCACGCCTGTCCCCGTGAAGACACAGTCCTTGGCCAATCTTAATGAGGTTTCTCATGTTCATCCGTAAAGTGTTTCTCATCTTGAAGTGACCTCATTCATTTCATTCTTCTTGTACCGGTCATTAGTCCTTCTTTAAGCACTCTGTGTTTTGCTAGCCAAGTCATTCCAAAGGGCATCGTGCACGTTTCACTGGAAAATAAGTGCCTGCAAGCTGGTCACGTTCTTAAGCTTAACACAAATATTAAATTTAAGACACAAATTAGAATAAACAGTGAAGTACACAAATGCTTGGTTGCTCCTCCCAGGGTATCGAATTCTCTGCTGCCAACAGCCTTTCTCACTGGCTTCCCTCCTGTGCCCACTGAATGGGCAGGGGCTGGGCATTGTACTCACGTGGTCTTTAAACACTTCTGAAATTAGTATTCTAAAATCTACAGAATCTAAAGCAGTTGCAGCTGGTTTTCCCCCCCGTGTGTTAAGCTTTTGATATGTCTTAATATTTGCTAAGAGAGTAAAAATATTGTATGTACAACTATGATTTAATCATTGGCATTTTCGTAAGCGAAGTTCATACGTTTGCATGTCCATATCAAACAATGAGAAGCAAATAGAGAAGAGTGACTACTTGTGTTTAAGGTCACATTTAAAAGTTAAAATGGCTCTTAAAAATGTGAGAATGTCGAGAGAGTCCCGGGGGCCTCATATTCCTTTTCAAGTGCAGTTATTGTCTTGGCTGGTAAGTTGAGCATAACCCTGTGGACGTTGTTATGTATGGTGCCAGCGGGACGGGGTGTATGAACTTTGTTGGTTTTCTGATTTTCCTCAGGCTTTTGCAAAAGATTTCTGAGGAGCACGGGTAAGTTGAATGTCGAAAGCATGGCAGAATGCAAATGCCCCGGCCCGCGGGGAATTAACCCTCGAGTGCATCCGTCCGTAACCCTGCTTGAGGCCACCTTCGCATGCGCTTTCGGCCTCAGTGCCCAGCTGGCTTGCACGGCCCTCCCAGAAGCGCCTTCGGGAGCAGCCACGGGGGCTGCAGGGGTGGCCCAAAGCGGGCAGCCTGCCTCCTCGGAGCCCCCGGGGAGGCCCCCTTCGGAAGCCGGGGCGAGCTCCGAACACGGCCTTCCAAATTCCCCCAGGCAGCTCCGGCTGTGATAAAAGTTGGTGGCTCTGTCCCCGTTTGGCTTAAGGACCAAAACGAGTCAGATAAAAATAAAATATACCTGTTGCTGCTGTGTAAGCCAGTTGTCGCAAGCTGCAATGCTAATGTAAAGACTTGTGATGTTCCTTTAGGGGTGGTGGGCGGTCAGTGGCACGCAGCTTTTCATCAGAGGTCAAAGCGCTCAATATTCTGAAACGCTGGAGGGCCCTGTAATTTTTCATCCCAGGGCCACGGAAGGGGGAGGATCAGCCCTTAGGCTGAGCAGACAGAGGAAATCGCAGAACACGATCGAAAAACATTTTAAAAAAGATTTAACCTCCCCCCAGCCAGCGATGCAAGCCACCAAAAATAACGTTTTGGGCGACCCCTCCCAACCCCAGTAGAAGCTGCGGCAGTGGCTGCAGCCCAGTAAACTTACAGACAGCACAATACAAGCCAAATATGTGTTTCTTAGGCTTGTTATTGCTTCCCAATACTCCTACACAGTGTACTTTTACAAGTGGCAATCGCTTGAAAAAGAAATCACAACATACAGGAAGAACTACCTTACGTTAGCCATCCGTGTACTCTCGATTCTAGCTCTTTGCTCTTAGTCCTAGTAAAGAAGTGGAAGAGAATATAAATAAAGAACGTGTTAGGCAGCAGCCTTTTTCTTATGCTCCGCATCATTCTCAGTCTGTGAGCGTGTGCCTCGCTGGCTCTCCCAGGACGCGGAGGGGCTGAAAAGAAAACCGGCCAAGAGCAGCTCTCACCACGTGAAAGAGGGTGGCCCGCTCTGTCCTGGACGCCGGACAGAGTCTGGGACCCGAGAGGCCGCTTTGGTTCCAGCTTGGCCTGTTTCGGCCTGAGGACGCCTCGCGCACCCTGCAGCCGCTGCCTTTTGGGCTAAATGCCGTTGCTTTCCTTGGCCAGAGGAAGGATGCGCAGATGGGGAACGCTGAGGCGCACAGTCCGTCGGGGTTCACAGCTGTCGTCGCACAGAAGGCTGTTTCAAGAACGTTCCCTTTGTTAACAGAGGAGCGGCTTGGAATAAGCAGAAAAGTTGATCCCTTTATAAAGGGAATTTCCTCCCCAGTTTATTTTTCCTTCTACAGAGCATTTTAAATTGGAAAAATGCTTTGCAGATGTTGACTTCTGACGAAGTCCTAGACACGATGGCAGCTGCGTAATTCGTTCTTCTCGAGCTCCCTGATCCACCTAATTGGCCTGACGGGAAGGCCGTGCCGTAGCAAGGCTTCCTGGGCCCTGCTCCGTATTTTTGCTTGACGGCAGCGGTAGGACAAGAGCAGCACGTCTTGGCAGTGCGATGTGGGACATCTTATACGTCTCCCTGGGTAGGGTGAGAATAAGGTGCAGAACGGCCATTTTGGAAACAGCTGCATGTTTTCAGGTTTATTTATTCGCTTACATTATTTGTGCGCGGCTTCAGTCCCAAGACTGAGCCATCCATTTGGTTTAACAGAATTGCAAAAATAATTAAAGACAGAATTTTCGGGAGCCTCTTCGGTTCAGCTATTGTTAAACTAGCAGCAATAAAAGGTCATCTCTCCTGGTGTTTGTAAGTTCTCCCAACGGCCATTCCCAATATTCTTCATTGGGAGCAACTACAGCCAAAAATGAACTATGAAAATGAACGGGTGTTTTATTCCCAGACCGAAAGCCTGTTGCTGCATCACAGAGTTTAATATGGTATTTTTATTATCCAGTGTTTGCACTGGATTCTAGTTCAACACCCTGTAATCCGCTTGAGGAGACAATCTGTTTGTCTGGACAACGGGATGAATCCATTATTTGCAAACAGATAGGTGAGAACATTCCTGTAACCCTGAATCAACAGGTGGAAAGACAGCAGAGGAAATAAACGCTGCTCCACCCTGACAGCTGCTTTGGCTGAGGCTGCTCATGTGCATGGAAGCTGGCCATCGGGGGAGGGGGGCACGCGAGGGTTGCGGAGAAGATGCACGAGTCTTTCACCGCTTCTTTTTGGTCCTCTCTAACGTGGTGGCTTTGGGGCAGCAGTATTCGGAAGGGGACCAGATCTGCAATAAGCCTATAGATTAACTCCATAATCCCAGGTTATCGGTTGCCAGAATCAGCAAGGGTCACCGCAAGAGAACGTGTAACTCTTGACTGTGATGGGGTTAGGTCTTTTATTGCACCAATCAAATTATTAATTACAAAGCTACGAGTTTTGCCATATGTTAATTTTCTCTCACTTGACTTCTTCTTTAAAATAAAATATAAAATAGCTATATTAGAGTTGTAACCTTCCTGGGTTTTTCTTTCTCCACGTATAGAGTCAGCCTGTCTCATTTATGGAATTTTCTTGGGAGAGGAATGAAGATTCTTCTGTCAAAAACATCTTTGCACACTTTCCTACTATTTTGTTTTTGCTTTCTGGATTAGGCAGGGACCTTCCATCTAGAAGCATTCAGAGTTCAATGGATGAATTCATGCATGATTTAACCATGGTTTTTTGAATAAGCCATAATGGCCTGTTTCACCTATAACATGAAGCTATTAACTGTGGTTTATAAAACACAATATCAGAAGTCACACGTTGTATTATGCCCGAACTGTGCAATAATTCTATAAAATACGTGGTTGGTTTCTTTCTTGCCCATGCCCCAGTCACCCCTTTGTTCACTGGGGGCCATGCAGCTTCATGGATCACTTTAGGGGACTGCAGTGGTGCAAATGTTGGGGCACCCCAGTCTCGCAGAATAGACGAGCCTAAGATGATCTAGATTTAGGGCTCCCACTGTCTCTCCAAACTCCGCCTCTGGCCGCCTGCATTTGCACATGACATAAAAATCAGGAGCAGCTAAGGTGGAGATTGGTGATACCGCAGAGAGAAAACTGAAGGGGAAGCGGGAAACAGCTTGCTCTGGTCCAATACAAAGGGCAGTGTCGCGTTTTTGTACTATAGTTTTGCAGTCTGTTTTGCTCAGCATATTTTAGGGCCCCAGGACAGATGTGATCTCAAAATCCTTATTCTCCTGCATGTCAAGAGAATCCTGACAGTGAAGTGGAAAAGTCTCCATTGGGCGCCCACATTTGCTTTCATATTCAGTGTAATAACTTTCAGAGAGTCTTGAGTTATGGATTTGGGAGAGAAACCTCCTAAATACTGACATAGGACTTTGGCCGTATCATCTTCATTCCCTTTCACGGATCACAAAAGGTTACATAAAGTGTTCTATAAAAGGATAACCCAGGGAAGATGGTCAGGAACTAGTTTCAGCAACTGTATTTCATTTAAATGTAAGGAAAAGCATCTGATGGTAAGATCTGTAGCACAGTGTAACAGTTGTGGGTTCTCCATCTCTGGAGTTTTTTAGAAGAGGCTGGACAGCTCTCAAGGATGGTTTAATTGGTCTTGCGCCACCTTGCAGAGGGTTGGACCAGCTGATCCTTGTGCTGCCTTCCAACTCCACAGTTCTGTGATTCTGTGTGGTGGTAATTTCATATGTGCAGCAACACGTTCCCACCCTACCCACCGCTAAAACCACCTTGTTGTAGAGCCCCTAGCTCTGTTACTGCGAATCAGATCGTTCAGTTCCCTCTTGAAGAAAAAGTGATCTGAAACTCTAAAACGGTGTCCTCTACCCTTAGGAGTAAATCCTTGAATGACGTCAGTGCCGATGAACTACAAACGATCCGGCAGATGCGTTATGACGAGCTCCAGAGAATAAAAGCTCAGCTGCGGGAGCAAGACCAGCAATGGCAAGATGTAAGTGTCCCGGAAAGGCCTATCTTTGCAGTCCTGCTGGGCACCTCTAGAAGATCGTCCCAGCAAGCCAAAATCAGGCAGCAGCCCGTGGAGATGTGATGGCGCGCGGGGTTGGGTTTTCCTTTAGAAGTATCGGCCAGTGGGAGGAGATGATCAAGGCCGAGGCTGCGCTGTTTGCTCCTCGGGAACAGAGTAGCCGTGGGGGTGAGGCCACGGAGGAACTCCAAGCCGTGGCGGTTCCGATGTGTCCTTTGCTGCTTCCCATGGGCTGAAGTGTGGGAATGACAGCGATGAGTGAGTGGAGCGGAAATGAGCATCAACAACAAGTGAAGCAAACCATGTTGTGAAAATATCTTAATGAGTCAGGACACCTGAGAATCCATTACTGCTTTGGTTTTCAGTCACCCGTTTAAATAACACCAGGTAATTCAAGATAACATGAAGTGCTCCTGAGCTGGGTGATCGGGTTAATAAAAATGCCAGCTCCCACTGCTGGTTTGAATAACAGTGCCTTTAAAATTGGGAGAGGGTCACGGAGAGCTTAGGGAGACGTGCCGATACATCTCGGGCTCCTTCTGTGCAGAGCAGCAGGTGCATTTCCTCCTGCAAAACCTTTAAGCGTCAGGAGGCTGAAAGGCCGCTATTGTTCCGATCGATCGGGGACAGGCTGGGCGAAGACACCTGAGAAGGCCGGAGCACCGGGCGTCTCAGGTGAAAATAGGGCAGCTGCGCAGTCCTCGCCAGGGAACGAGACCCGCGGGTGCTCAGCCGCAGCAGCTCGCGGCCCAGGGTCTCACCGAATATCGGTCCGTGTGGCTTTTTGTGTAGGACCTGGCAAAATGGAAAAGTAGGCGCAAGAGTCACACCTCTGACCTGCAAAAGAAGAAAGAGGAGAGAGAAGAAATCGAGCGAAGAGCTTCTGAAAGCTCAGAAAGGCGCAGCAAAACCCTGAGGGAAATGCAGCAAGACAGGTAATATCTAGTGCGTTTAATGGCTTAGTCTTGGTTATGTTTACTTGGAATTCAGCAGCGCTTAGTTTAATTGATTGCCTTTGAATTTGTTTGGACACTCGGTTGCTGGCATATTTAATTTTCAGTTCTTCTCTTCCTAATGTTTTGATAATTTTATTCCTAAGTAATTAAAGGATAAAAATCTAAGGGCAATAACATTAATTTACCCACTATGATAATAATTTTAGTACACGTTTTGAAAGGGAAAAATAACCTTTTAATTTAAGTTTAAGTCGCAGTATTAACTGAGTTCATTTTCAACTTCCATGTTTGTTTTTTGCATTAAAATATTCATTTGTAGCTCAATCTTAAACCAGTTTACTTTGACATAAGTCCCACTTCTGCATTCTCAATACATGTCTTATATAACCTTTGGGGGAAATTGGGGGGGGGGGGCGGGGCGGGGGGGGTTTGCCCTGGAAAAAGGCATTAAAAAGTCTTCCCTGGCCTTCCCCCTTTTT